CCATTGATTAAGACGCGCAGCATCTGCTTCGTTCGAGATTTCTGTAGTCTCTGTTATTCCTTCTCCTGTCAATTTCATATATTTTCTAAAACGTTTTTCTTATTACAATACATATCAGATGAGTTTATCTCAAGTTTTCCATGGAAAGTTCCCTAACCGTGGATTTCACATACCGCCAGCTGTTCGTTCCTCGCGTTTCATTTTCCAAACATCAGTTTGATAGATGAGTAAACAAATCTAAGGGACGGATGAGAGTAAAGAGAATTTCGGAGGAACGCGGAGAGAGGCTTTTAAAACCGGTCGAATGGGAGAACGACAGAACACGAGAACGGGTAGAGGATCGGTGAAACGAGTCGGCAGAGAAAAGCGACGTTCCCACTGCAACAGGACACCGACGAACGCCCGCGGTGCGCCGTGCTTTCTGTGTGCTGTCGCTGCACTTGGCGCGGATGCGTGTGCGACGTGCGTTGCGTTGCGTCTCTACGACTGCGACGTATCGAATGAAGCGCCGACACGCCCTGGGAACGGATAACGCGAATAAAAAGCATGGAAATGAATGGAAATCCCATCGCGTGCGATTGGTGTATAATCGTGGACGCCGAGTAAAAATGTTCACGAGTCGCACCTCGGGCGACCGCGTTAAACCGGCAAGATTTTATCATAAATCGTCCGACCCTCGACTACAATTGCTAGATTAATTAAAACTGTCTACGCTGCGCTCGACAATTCCTTCCACGACTTCCTCGATTCCAGTAGAACGCGACGCAGATCCTATCGACGCTGACGTATCTCTCCATTATCAACGTCCTGCGCTCTCTATGGTCTTGACGAACAAAATAATACGAGGGAATGTCGAGCCCGTAGATCAAGCGGATTCCTGGTGCCCTTTTTCTTTCGACGATCCAGACGAGAAGAGCCGCGCGAAACGCCCACGCGAGCCTTATTATCTCCAGTGGCCATCGGGTCTGTTCAAGTGGCCCTCCCATCGAAAATTGGCAGCAATTAGAACGGAGGGAAAGCGGGGGAAAAATTGGCGGATCGAAAAGCGACGAAGGGTCGACGTCCGATACGCGGCTGACCCGCCGTTAAACAGACTTAACGACCGACTTGGATGTGTTCCGCGACGAGAGTAAATAAGAGAACCGCCTGAAACGGTCGGTAATGAGTGACGGTACTTGATTTGCCGCGTCAATGACTACGAAGACCTCTCTTGCTCGTCCGCGAACTTGAAATTCCATTGCTTGCATAAACGTGCCAGCGAATTCTTTATCAGTGCCGAAGGCACTGGGCACAAGTATGAAAACCGGGTGAACCCAGAGGCGAGACTGTTATTCAAGAATGTTCGATATGATATTCAGTGAAATTCGGTCACATGAACGTGCGGTACGGAGTCTTGTTTAAAAACGAGTTCTACCCACACGAAGTGAACCGTGTCACAATCGCCTTGCCTCCGGTGTCTCTTTATACAGCGTACAACAATTGTATTATGTACGTCTTGGAACATGGGAAAACTTTTAGGTTTGACACTTAAACGATTGATAAACGCCTTTCAGTTACCGATAACTCATTAAAAGTTCCTTAAAATATGTTATCATTCTTAAAAGATACGATTCCGAATAAGGCGTACGATATTACGTCAGTGATAGCGTTCGGCTTTTCGTCGGACAGAGTGATTCACGAATTCGGAGAACAATTCTTTATACAATACGCCCATTTTGCACACTTTTTTCCCCCTTTTTGTTAGTAGCACAAAGGGAAGCTGTCTCCTTGAACTCTTCGCCCGTGAAATTTGGAATTCCTAACTTGAACGTAGCGTGACTCTCCAAGGCTGCAAAGGGGTTGGGAGGGGGTGGAAGCATGTCTGGCTCGTAACTCGTTGCTCTCGTTACACTGGCATTAACCTTTGTACAGTTTCGTGTCTTACCCCCCTCCTCCTCCCCCCGATCGGCTCGCAGGAATAGAAACTAGACTTCGGGATTCCTGTTCTCCTTGAAGCCGTTAATCGCCGCCCGATTAACATCGAAATTTGTCCCGTCAAAGCAATCTCGCCCGTGGCCTTTGCGTTAGTTGCAACTCTTCCGTGAGCGTAATTCACTTATGATGTATTTGCAGAACTTTTGCCTCACTTTTGAACGAATCGTAAACATTGATTTAAATCTCGTGTCGTGTCCGCGGCGAACAGTTGCACCGTTCTGAACGGCCCAACATATGTCGCTTGAAATCGCAGGTAGACAAGCATTAGTCCCTCGGGTATACAAAACCCGGCAGATGTTTCTAATAATGCGTTTCAACGAATCATAGACCGGCACATTGTTGAATCGAGTGAGATGAAATTTCACAAAGAGGACGTCGCTAAAGCAGAGAGAGAGAAAGAGAGAGCACATGCAACAGGCTGGGACACGCAACGCGCCGGCCTGGAAAATCGCGCTCTACTCCGATACACTCAGCGATAAACTTTTGATCGACTTTGCCGAGTTTATGAAACGGATTTCGATCGTTCGAGGAACGACAGGTCGTCGAACCTGTCGAGCAAACTCGAAGAGAAAGGCATTTCGAGGTTATACGCGGCCTGTCAAGGAGGAAAAGGGTTGTGCCTTCGGAATGCAAATAGGAAAAATTCGCAAGATAGTAAGATGATCGTTGCCACGAACCTGGTTTTGAAACGCTGCGTGTCGTCCTGGCCAGCCCACATTTTCTTTCGCTAATCGACGAGAGATCTCCCTTGCACCGTGGCTTCTGACAACTTGTGAATCACACGTTTTCGACGAACGACAAGGCGACAATTCGTGCCGGTCGTGCACGTTCGAACGGGTCTACGAGACGTGGGTCAGTCAGGCTGGGTCACGCCGCGACTTGCGTTCCTTTTCCGTCTCTCTCCTTGTCGCGTGCACGCACCGCCAGGCGGGAGCAAGGGAGAGCACACGATTCGGAGGAGAGCAGAAGGAAACTGACGCACGCCACACGAGGAGGCGCCACCTCCAAAAACTCGTGTGCACGATCCACACTCGTGAATTCTCCTGTAATCACCTTGCCACTTGCCTACGGAGAAATCATCTCCGCACCTTTACAGTATTTTCGCTCACTTGCCCCCAAATCACGAGAACAGTCTCGAAGAGCATATCTTTTTTTTATATTTATATCATACAAGACGCGTCGTTAATTTCATTTACTAATGATAAACTACAATTTGAATGCTAAGATTCCTCTCCATATCTTGCATAGAAAAAGATGCCTAATTTTATTAAAATAAAGGGCTTATCCCTTTCCCTCTATCGCGTAATACATACTTTTTACCAAGGGGATACTATAAGAAAATGAAGACACGAGAAAGAGGGAAACGGAAAGAGGGAGAACAAAGGGTGGACAGAATATTGTGGCTCTGCAATTACGAAGCTTCGAGTCTAAATGTACACGCCTCTATGCGGCACGCCAAGAGCTACGGTGACGCCGGGTGAGTCACCTGAAACAGCATGACTCGTATTCGAAAACCGTGCGTATTATTCGCATGCGTTCCGAGAAAATATTTACGACGAAATGAGCTCAAATCCTCGAGTTTCCCATGCAGTAACTGCACGCATAAAAAAAGAGCCACAAAACAGTGACCATTCTTCGGAGATGCATGTGTAGGAAACGAATTAACCTTCTGTCGTTTTCTGTTGTTATCATTACGGATATCCGGCAATTTGAATTTATCATACTTCGTATCGTAGTCACTTTTATGCGATAAATCATACGTGTCCCGTTTATTAGAGAACATAGCTCGCAATGTTTAGACGTTATATGTATATCCGCGGTAAACCGCCAGCTTTTTATCGCGAAAATGCCGGATATTGAAACGCGATATTTGCCAGGGTAAACTCGCTCGCCAAGACTTTACATACAATGTAAGAGAAGATTACGTAAACTACTTTCTTAATTAAGATTCCTTTTATTTCAGCTGTACGTATCGAGTGACATAAAAATCGTACATCACCATAAAAAAAAGCTACTTGTTAACATTACAGTAATGACCATCAATAATATTGAAATTCTTTTATCTTCCTACATTATTTTTCATGTGAAATTATTGTATTATAATTGTAAAATAAACTGTGTAAAGAACTGGGTTTGAATTTCGCACCTTCCTAAATGGAGTAGCAAGCGCAATCTGTTACTATATCTTTGTACTCGCGAGTGCATCATACTTAAGACACTACCGACTACGTGATTAACAGGTGCAACAGGCAAACTGTGTACACCTGGCGTATGGTATCATTGTTCTTCACATAGTATAATAAAGAAAATTTAAAACATTCTCTATTCTAAGAAAGGTTCCCTGCATTTATATCTACGACAATTTGATAGATTTATGTGCACTGTTTATTATTCTAAGAAGTATACCTATCATACTTTTAAATTTGCGTCGCGAAAATGATGTTCAACATCGAAATAGTATAAAACAATGAGTAGATCCATTAACAAGTACAACATCTGATAGTCTCGTTGCAGGCAGTTTAGTATGATGATAATTACGATTATTTATTAGAGTTTAACATCGTAATAGCATTTTTCTAAATTCCGATTCGGCAGAGGTAGCACGAAAAAGGATTCGCAATGGATTGTCCGGTTATGACCGGTTCAAACTGACGCACCGTGCATAACAAAAAAGTCAGTAACCAACAAGACGCCGTTCCTTTATTTCTCATGTTATTTAACCAATATAAGCGTGTACGAATATTGTTATTTCCTATAAATACGATCCCGAAAAATGGGTGAACACAGTAAAAATGTATAGAATGTTAAAATTCTAACTGAAATAATTGAATATTTTCCCCATGCCTTCAATGATTTGTTGAGAAAAACGATATCTGACGAATGTAAGAATGCAACGATCGTTTTTGCAGAGAAAAAAGTAAAATAAATAAAGGATACGCACACCCTGATAGAAGGGCAAGAACTAGGTTCTTGTACGATACCCATTTGAGCAGATAATAAATCATAAATATGAATGTGTCACTTACTTGCTGGATTTTTTCTTCTCGTCGCCGAACCCTTGGAAAGTTCCCGTGGATGTCATCTTTTTCTAGAGTTTCGGAGCTATGTAGACCGTAATATTTTCACGATAACCGTCGGGAGACTTTTGCGGCACACGCGAATCCAAACACAACACGACTCTTTCTTCTACCGAACGAAATCAAATAGGGTTGTGTCACGGGATTGGTAGTCCGTAGCACAAATTCTGACGTCAGACTAGCTAGTCAAATTGGCGTTTAAACTGTAAATTCTTTGCCAATTTAAATGCACTAAAAATTGAGTAGCTGTCTTAATAAATGAAACAATGATACATTAGGTACTCTTGCTGTAATAAATATAATGAAAACAAGAAAAATTCAAGAGAAATCGGTTTACAGATTTAGAGAATGCTTCCCATAGAAACGTTATATTTTATGAGGTTGGGATTCCTGACACTTCGATTCTTGTCGACCTTTTATAGCCGGAAATCATATCAACAAGTGAATTTACGAATATATCGCACTCAATACGGATTACTTAGTTATATTTATGAAAATTTTCTCTTATAAAATAGTTATCGCTCGCGATGGATTTATGTCTGATCTCGAAAGATAAGCTCGAATTCACTTGGAAACTGGCAGCCATGTTTGACTCTTGTCACAAACACAGATGGAGATGCAGTATCCAAAAAAAGTCTCGCGACAGTTTACTTATGCTCCGTACTGATTTGATTACTCTCGATCATCGTAACTGTAAATTAAACGATAATAAACAGCTGTATAAATGGTACGAAAAGTTCGAAAGCTCGATTCAGTGTCGTTAAGAATTTTCTCGGTGAACGAACGGTTTCTCGATGTTTTAACTTACGAGGAAAGTTCATAAGGGAGCGAACATGTTAAACCAAGCCGTGGTCGAAGCATTGTATTCTGCGACGTACATCGAGAATTACTTGGACTGTGTCGAAAATTTGCCGAACGACCTTCAAAGACACGTTTCCCGGCTTCGGGAACTCGATGCCACTTGTCAAAGTAATTGAAATTGATAGTTGCTAGAAGTGTTGCTTGTGCGTGCATGCTAATTTGTTATCGTTGCAAACATTTCGTTTTCATAACTTGTAAAACCTGTAAATAATTGGATCAAGTAAAATGTCCAAGTATGCAAAAAACGGTTTTTCATGCTGACAATCTTTTTATACAAGAATGTCACCTTAATGTTATGCATGTTCTTGTTTCGGTTTAGCATATTTGCGTGAAGTGGATCAACAACAAGAAGCATTGAGAAATGACACAGATCTGGCAGTTAAGAGGAGAGCACTTTTAAGAGTTCAGCAAGCACTTATTGCGGCACAAGAAATAGGAGATGAAAAGTTACAAATAGTCCAACAAGTCCAAGACCTTATTGAAAATAAGTCTAGGCAGCTGGATTTAGACTATCGTAATCTTGGTAGGGTTCTCCCTTTATTTATCTTGAGCAATTTCTAAAAGTAACTGTAAGTTTTTATTATGTTCTTTGATTTCAATTTCTTGTAGATTTTGGTAAGGAACAAGAAAGTAGTGAATCAGCACGTGAAGCAAACGCGAATACAAACTGTAATTCTTCTGGCAATGCAAACAACTCTGAAAGACAGCCGAAGAGGCCTAGAAGAACTAGGACAGAGACGTTGGTCGACCCTTCAAATGCAATGGATATGATTGTCATGACAGAGACTCGATCTAACTCGTTGTCAAATGCAAGTAACGGTAATCAGAAGAAGACGACCACCACTAATACTAGCAAGAAAAAGAAGAGGAAGTCTAGACAAGGTAGTCAGCAGAATCAACACCGTGAGGATACTCCACCACCACCAGAGGATGATCTCGCAATAGATCCAGATGAACCAACGTATTGCCTCTGTGACCAAATATCATATGGAGAAATGATATTATGCGACAATGACTTGTGCCCTATCGAATGGTTTCATTTCTCTTGCGTTTCATTGAGTACCAAGCCGAAAGGTAAATGGTTTTGTCCAAAATGTAGAGGTGACAGGCCAAACGTTATGAAACCGAAGGCACAATTCTTAAAGGAGCTGGAAAGGTACAACAAAGAGAAAGAGGAAAAATCGTAGCAGGAAAAGAAACTGGTGAGCAATTTAAGCACCTTGGAAAACTTATCTAAAATGACCACAGCTTTTAAAACGTACTTCGTAACTCCGAATAGTTTTAGAAATCCTACAAAAAAGTATAGTGGTTTTGTAAAGATTTCAATGGAATCACTCCCCTGCTAATCGTATTGTTATATAAGTATATGTATGAGCTGTTTTATAACTAACTACAGTAGATGACGGATTATATTTGTATAATAATTATTACTGTAAATATTGTGACAATATTACGTAAGTAGAGCAAATAGATTATAAAAAAGAGCTAATAGGTTTCTACTTTAAGCAATAACATATATAAATGTTATACAACTTTTCAATCTACAATAGCAGTATTAAGAGAGAAAGTTTTATAATACAAATTTTATGTTCTGATCAATCAAATCATTTAGCATGAATTNCTCTACTGATAGTGAGATAAATTTGTTGTGTATACACATATATTAATATATTCCTAAGGAATATTTTTCTTGTAATACAAAATGTACAGTGTAGATGATAAATTACAGAAATCAATGGATGTATAACCGATCATGTCTAGAAAAAAACAATTTGTATGTTTTGCATAATTAAAAAAAGAAATCACAGCTTTTTTATGTATGTATGTAGTTGTAAAAATCATTTGAACGTTTACATTAAACTGCGTATTTTTTAATATGAAATAAGCGATCCTTTTTTACTTTCCCGTTGTACAAGAATGGAGGCTGAAAAACGAATATAAACTGTTATGAATAATGTTTCAACTTTATTAGGAAATTACAATTAATTATTAGTACTTATCCTTCAAGTTGATTACTGGGCTTTAACTCTAGGCTATATTTATACATCATTATTTATACAATGTTTTTTGTAATTGAAACGAAACAATTTAGTTTCCAATTATTTTAAGAGGTACTAGAATGCGATTCGTCTGTTTTAAAATGATCATGTGAAAATCCTTATATGTATATGAACGTAACTATTAATTACGATGTAAATCAATGTTACAAAACTGGTATTCTTTTCCATCTCTAAAATCTGTTATATAATACGTTGGCGCCTAGGACCTACTTATAATGAGCAAAATCATATACACTGTATTTTTATAGATAAAAATCACATGATGCACAATACAATTTCACATCATCCCAGTACTCTACATTTTTTGTACACATCCGAAACACAGTCAGTGTTAAGTAAATCATTTCATTGCTCTGTTATAAAACTATGTAGCACTCTCCCCCAGGAGACAAAAACAAAAGAAATCCTGTAGAATTTAGTGCGTCGTCTTGAAAGCACGTGAAATTATGTTTCCGACCATTCCTACTATGTAGTATTATTTAAACGAGGAAAACAGCATCAAACAAGCTTGTTAAAACCATCGTACGAGTTATATTCAATGTCAGCGGGCATCTTCCGTGTGACTTTCTTGGAAGTTCAACCACGATTGCTCAACAACAGTAGCTACTCTCTTCTCATACTCCCGTTTATTTTCTTGATATAATTGCGCCGCTAAAGAATTCGCTGGAGAATTTGGATTTGGTTCATCCAAAAGGGACTGCAACAAATATTTTATAGACCTCGTTATGATATAACATATGTTTATTCTAAGTATAAACAGCACATAAGGTTAAAGAAAACCATTAAACTATAAAGTGAAATTATGTTTTTATTACGTATGGTGTGTGTATATATATATATTTATATATGTATATATATATATAATAAGTGAATTTATGTACTATATGAAGTACTAAAATGTAATCCACTTCTGTGCTTGTGAAAGACACTGCTTTTGTAGCACAGGTAATAAAAAAAAGCGCCGAATTTTAATTACATTTTCTAATTTTCTTCACGTAATTACTAATATCAATTAAAATAATCAAAACGATCAATCTCTGTTTTCATCGAATATCGAAATAAATAAATACACAATTTTATAATAATTTATTATTTCAACATTGTAAAAATTCGGTCTAATGTTGCACATTATGGTAGTTCAATAGAGCTTTAGGAAGAAACATGCTAATGTTTTAGCGTTAGCTCCTTGGTAAGGCTGCACGTTCTCCACTGTATCTGATGGCTGTAGGTGGCTGATCGATGCTGCAACAGCATTGTGGAATCGCCCGCGACTAATCCGTAAAACTCTGCTCCACACAAGCCTTCACTCGCTTCTCGTACTCACGTCGGTTCTCTTTGTACAGTTGTGCTGCCATTGAGTTGGCAGGTGAATTCGGGTTCGGGTCACTTAACAGCGACTGCAACCACACAAGTCATACTCGTTATACAATCTTTCGTTTGTTTCTCTTTAATGATGCATGATTATAAGTAGATGATTCTTTTACGGGTACCAGTGATTAGAAATACACTTGTGGTCGGTTAAACAAATTGCAAGCAAAAAATTTCAACACTAACGTTGTATGGAAACAATTTTCAGTGTACCAGACTTTGATGAATTGCAACCGCTGTTAAGACAAAAATTTATGAATCTTTGTAGTTTTTATAC